GTCCAACAATTGAGTCAATATGTGGACAAGCCAAGGGATATCCACCTAACTACAGCTCACAGGGTTCTAAGATACCTCAAGTCATCACCTGGAAAAGGTCTCTTTTACTCCTCCAATCCTTACATTAAACTGCAGGGGTTTTCAGATTCAGACTGGGCTACTTGTATTGAAAGCAGAAAATCCATCACAGGTTACTGTATCTACCTTGGGAACTCCCTAATTTCATGGAAAACTAAGAAACAAGCCACTGTTTCTAGATCATCTTCTGAGGCAGAATATAGGGCATTGGCATCAACAACTTGTGAAATACAGTGGCTCCTTTATTTGTTGGCAGATTTGAATGTGGAAGTTCACAGTCCTGTTGCTCTATTTTGTGACAATAACTCTGCCATTGCTATAGGTGAGAATCATATTTTCCATGAACGCACCAAACACATTGATATAAACTGCCATGTGGTGAGGCAGAAAGTGCAAGAAGGTGTGATTAAACTGTTAGCAATTCCATGTCACAGTCAGACAGCAGATGGCTTCACTAAAGCTCTTTCCAAGCCTTTGTTTGATGTGTTTCATGCTAAGCTGGGCCTTCTGGATCTTCATGCTCCACCTTACGGGGGGTGTTGAAGTAAAGGAAGAAGTCATCAATTTTTTATTGAGCTTGGATCATCAGCACAAGACATCAAGCAGCAGGCAGTAACTTCAGTTTCTCAAAGTCTAATAGTCAAGGGCTATTTTAGTCCTTTCCTTTCTTCAGGTAGTTATAATTGCCACCTTCCTTCTCTTCATTGTATATAAACTCTCGTTCTCTTGCTTTCAATAATACAACACGAATAATCCTTTTTCTCTCCACTTGCTCTAACATGAGAGATCCTACCTCATGTATTCTCTGAGAATTAAGCATTCTCAACAGAAATAGCTTTTTAAAATTAGTTTAATTAAGATAGAGAACAATGGAGCAATATAATGCATTAAGAATTAATAAACATAAGTTGACATGACATTACAAAATCCATTTTTCTTTTGATTTCATAAATCATAAACATGTTTGAAGTTGAAGTAAGCGGCGGTGCAAGATGAAGATAACGCTGGCTACTTGTAATGTAATCCGTCTTTCAATCGGTCGTTGTCTTGCATTCCAATCAAGAAGAATGCTCCCTCCGTACACATTCACAGTTATTATCTATGTATGTATAAATATAATTCTACAACTGCGGGACATTATATTTCAAGTTGTAACATTCTACAAATATATTTTACAAAGTTAGTTAATTATGGAACAAAAAAAGATGGTGAGATTTATGGTATTATTGGCTAGTGTTATCGCATTGTTGTTATGTAACATAGGAAATGCAGCATCACAGCCACCAACATCATCGGTATCACACAACGTGGTAAACTTTGGGGCAAAACCCGACGGAAAAACCGAGTCGACTCAGTCGTTCCTGGGCGCATGGGCAGCGGCATGCAGGTCGCTCCGGCCGGCCACAGTTTACGTGCCCAAGGGCCGTTACTTGCTTAAGGCAGTGGTGTTCAACGGGCCATGCAAGAACAGAATCACGGTGCGAATTGACGGCACTCTCGTTGCTCCCACCGATTATCGGGCCTTGGGAAACTCCGGCTACTGGATCTTGTTTAGTAAAGTCGACCGGATTTCCGTCGTCGGCGGCAAGATTGACGCCAAGGGAGCTGGCTTCTGGGCTTGCCGGAAGTCCGGGAAGAGCTGCCCCGTCGGAGCAAGGGTACCAACTCATCCAACTACATACGTACATTAACAACATTTAATATATATATATATATATATATATATATATATATATATATATATATATATATATATATATATATATATATAAAAAATGTTTGTTGGAATATTATTTAATTTGTGATTTGTGATTTGGATGATGGATCAGTCGATGACATTCAAAGGGGCAAATGGGCTGGAGGTGAATGGTTTACAATCTTTGAACAGTCAAACAATGCACCTAGTAATCAACGACTGCAAAAACGTTGTGATTCGCAACGTGAGGATGATAGCCCCAGATGAGAGTCCCAACACCGACGGCATCCACGTCCAGGAATCCACCGGAATCACCATCACCTCTAGTATTTTGAAGACTGGCGATGACTGCGTATCAATCGGTCCAGGTACAAAAAACATGTTCATGGATCGATTACTATGTGGCCCTGGACATGGTATCAGGTAATATTATAATAATAATAATAATATGTATGTGTTACATATATATGTCATGATAGTTTTATAATATTAGAATTAAATGTGTAATTGACGCAATAGTTGATAACTAGTCTTACAATATTATTTAGCGGCAGATCATCAGATATTATTAATCCACATATATGGTATAATTATTATTGCAGTATCGGAAGTCTGGGTCAGGATGCGGTAGAAGACGGTGTGCAAAACGTAACACTAATAAATTCTCTCTTCGTCGGATCCCAAAATGGAATCAGGATAAAATCATGGGCACGACCAAGTACTGGGTTTGTCAACAACATCAATTATCGCAACATTGTTATGAGGTATGTGAACAACCCCATAATCATTGACCAGAACTACTGTCCAGACAACATTGGTTGTCCTAAACAGGTAATTTCTTGTACCTTATACCCGATTAGTGACATAAGCTTGAGACCCTATATTATGTTTATAAATTTGATTCTGGGTTGAAATTGACAGACATCTGGAATAAAGATCAGTGGAGTGACATATAAGAACATACAAGGAACATCTAAGACAAAAGTTGCAATGACATTTGACTGTAGCCCCAGCCAAAAATGCAAAGGGATAAAGTTGCAAGATATAAAGTTGAGGTATTATTTGAACAACCAGAAGGCACAATCCATCTGCAAAAACATTCAGGGAACTACCACTGGAGTCATCTTACCATATAACTGTCTCTGATCACCCTCGATATAGTGTATATATATATATATATATATATATATATATATATATATATATATATATATATATATATATATTCATTTGGGTTTCAAGAATATTATTTATTAAAATTAATATTATCTTTATATGTAAAGTTTTATACTTTAACTATTATATTATCATGAAACTAATAAAGCCTTGTGTATATTATTTGTAATATGAGGCAATTTGTAATTATTGAATTTTAATTATATGAAATTATTTGTGTTTATAAGGTTGTGGAGTACAAAAGTATGACCAATTCAGAGCAACCTCAATAGTAATGGGGAAAGGGGGAGGGAAATGAAAATAAGACAAGGGAAAATAACTGAAAACAAAAAGTTTAAGGGCATCCTTAATAGTGAGAATTTTGGTGTAGCTTTTGATGAAGTTTTTGTATGTGTGATTAGGAAAGAGAAAATAGGAGAAGAGGGAAAATGAAAATGAAAAAGAAATTCAGAAACTGAAAAAAAAAAACCTAAATGGATTTACGTGCCCAGGCACGTGCAGTCCACGCACCTGCCTGGGCGTGAGAGTTGTGCCTCACATGCGTGAGGCACAACTCTCTCTTCAAACAATGAGCCCTCCAAACCTGCAAAATCCCACGTGAAGCACCCACATACTCTCTCTCTCCTCCACCTCACACTTTTCTCCTCAAAACTTGATCCAAAAGCTCCTTTTGGGAATGCTCTAAAGAAAATAGTGTCATTTACTATTTACATGCCCGATGAACGCGGCTGGTCACGAAATGCTTACCACCAGACCTCGTTTATTTGGCCCCACAAAAAACCTTTATTATTGCAACATATCCAATGTTCTCTCTCATATATTCTCTTCCCTCCACTTCACCTAAAAATTCACAAAAAAAAAAAAAAAAACTATTAGATATTTAGGTGTGGTTTTTGAGGAAGTTTTTGCTGAAGTGGAGGAGAGAGAGTTTTGAGTTCTTTTGCAAGCACATGATTTTTCATCAGTACAGTAGTGGGCCCCACCAAATATGAAAAGGAAGCTGTTGTTCGTGTGTAGCACACAACAAGCGCTTAGTCGTGGCGCGGGGCGCGTAGATTTTTTTTTCCCTTGACAGTTGTTGTTGTTGTTTTTTTTTTTTGTTTTTTTTTTTTTAAATTTTTGGAATAAGGGTCAAATAAGCCCTCAAACTATACTGGTTGGTGCAATTAGGCCCTTCAACTTCAAAAAACTACAATTATAACCTCAAACTTATAAAAAAGTGCAATTAGCACTATTTGGAGGTTGCCTTCAAGTTAAAGGTCAACTACTTGATGATTGAATTTTTTCAAGCTGATTTGACGAGTTGATGTGGCTTCCGCATAAAAAATAATATATTATATTAAATTTAATTTTTTATTAATAATAATAATTATTATAACATATTAATATTAAATTTAACATAATATATTATATTAAATTATTATTATTATTATTATTATTATTATTATTATTATTATTATTATTATTATTATTATTATTATTATTATTATTAGATGTACTATATATATAAGGGTTATATATGGGGTGGGGTGGGGGGAGAGGAGGAGGGAAGCTCCCTCCACTCTGCCTGTCAATATGTACAATAATTACCATCTTAATAAGGGAAATTTAGGGAGGAAATAGCATTTTAAAATTAGTTTAAGATAGAGTACATACAATGGAGCAATATAATGCATTAATAATTAATAAACATAAGTTGACATGACATTACAACATCGTATCCAATAATAAACTTAAGAAGGAAAATTCATTTTTCTTTTCATTTAATCATAACCATGTTCGAAGTTGAAGTAAGCGGCGGTGTAATATCAAGGCTGGCTACTTGTAATGTAATTTCAATCGGTCGTTGTCTTGCATTCCAATCAAGAAGAATGCTCCCCCCGTACACATTGACAGTTACCTATGCATGTATGTATCTATAATTCCACAACGTAACTGCATGCATGCCGTTATATTCATAGTTGTAACACCAATTCAAATATATTTTACAAAGTTCGTTGAAGAAAAAAATATTTTAAGGAACAAAGAAAGAAAGAAAAAAAAAGATAAGATGGTGAGATTTATGGTATTATTGGCTTCTGTTATTGCATTGTTGTTATGTAACATAGGATATGCAGCGTCACATCCACCAACATCATCGGTATCATACAACGTGGTAAACTTTGGGGCAAAACCCGACGGAAAAACCGAGTCGACTCAGGCGTTTCTGCGCGCTTGGGCGTCGGCATGCAGGTCACTCCGGCCGGCAACAGTTTACGTGCCCAAGGGCAATTACTTGCTTAAGGCAGTGGTGTTCAACGGGCCATGCAAGAACAGAATCACGGTGCGAATCGACGGCACGCTCGTTGCTCCTACCGATTATTGGGCCTTGGGAAACTCCGGCTACTGGATCTTGTTTAGTAAAGTCGACAGGATTTCGGTCATCGGCGGCAAGATTGACGCCAAGGGAGCTGGCTTCTGGGCTTGCCGGAATTCCCGCAAGAATTGCCCCGTCGTCGGAGCAAGGGTACCAACTCATCCAACTACGTACATTAATTATCTTCCTACGTTACTACTCCGTAATTAAATAATATAGAGTCCGCGCCTTTGGCTAGTTATATAAAAAAAAAACATCATCAATGATAGGAAATGCATAACAAAAAAATGCAAAAATTAGGTACGCATCATCAAAAACGTACTATTAGGTATGAATAAAAGCACCGTCCGAGAGTTATATGGTGCATTTTTTGGGTGTAGAGTGCATTTTTTTTTTTGTGTATTTTTACATTTCAGTGTTGTGCATTTTCCTAACATTATTGGTGTCTTTTGTTAACACTATTGGTGCATATTTCAAGCGGCCGCATGGCTGCATTTGGGTAGACTTCTATATATATATATATATATATATATATATATATATATATATATATATATATATATATATATATATATATATATATATATATATATATATATATATATATAAAAGAGACAAAGAAAGTTAGGCCTATTATTGGTAAAAAAAAATGACCGTCAAATTATTAAATTAAATGAATGATTCAGATGGTTCATATTTTAATTTTTCCTTGAGATTTTCTAATTTATCCTTAATTATATAATTATTCGTTAACTTTTGCATTAAATATTATCTTCACTGTTAATTCACCGTTAACTCTAACCCACAAATCCTTATAGAATTATATAACTACACCGTTAGCACAAATGTGGCCGCGCCTTAACCTATAGTCGGTGCGGCCGCTTAAAAAAAGCACCAATAGTGTTAGGGAAATGCATAACAACGAAATGCACAAATACACCACAAAACGCAAAACACATCCAAAAAATGCACCATACCTCCCCATACCTAATTGTGCATTTCCGAACACTATGTGGTTCGTTTATGCATACCTAATGGTGTATTTTTTGTGATGTCTACCCAATTATGCGTTGTTTGGTGTATTTGTACAATTTTTTGTTGTGTGTTTACTGTTTACTAACAGTATTGGTGCATATTTACATAACTATTGGTGCGACTGCACCTGAACAAAGTTATATATATATATGTGTATGTATGTAAAATTATTGTTTGTGATATTATTTAATTTGTGGTTTGGATGATGGATCAGTCGATGACATTCAAAAGGGTAAATGGCCTGGAGGTGAATGGTTTACAATCCTTGAACAGTCAGACAATGCACCTAGTAATCAACCACTGCAAAAACGTTGTAATTCGCAACGTGAGGATAATAGCCCCAGATAAGAGTCCCAACACCGACGGCATCCACGTCCAGCACTCCACCGGGATCACCATCACCTCTAGTAGTTTGAAGACTGGCGACGACTGCGTATCAATCGGTCCAGGTACAACAAACATGTTCATGGATCGATTAGTATGTGGCCCTGGACATGGTATCAGGTAATAATATATATTATAATAATACTATGTATGTGTTATATATATAGAGTTAATACCCAAAATTGTCCTCAATTATAGTGGTTTTTCTCAATTTTGTCCTAAACGACTTTGGTGTCATAAAATAGTCCCAGACTTTTATGTTATCGCTCAATATTGTCCTCCGTTTGTTAATTCATTAAAAGAGTGTTAAGTATAGGGATAATATAGTCATTTTATATTTAAGTCTTCTCTTGTCCCCTCCCTCTACAGAGAGCCTCATTGTTGTTCATTCTTACGTTGTTGTTGTCGTTGTCGATGACGATGACGAAACCAGGGACTTTGGTTATGGGTCGTCGGAGTTTACTATTCTCAGGACTTTCATTTTTATTTTTATTTTTGTTGCGGGCTGCTAACTCAACAGAAAGGAAAATCCTTGATTGACCAAAAATTACAAGAAACATCTAAGACATCAAAAGTTCAAAACCTTCGGACAAAAATATATCAAGGAGAATCCAAATTAAATTTACAACGAATGAATAGAATCGTATTTGTCACTTGATCAAAGTGAGAAAATTACTGCTTAAAATGAAAGGAGGAGGGGCAGAAGAACTGTATTTTGGGGAAGAAGGGAGTGAAGAAGTTATTCTGCAGTGGGCGCAAATTTTAGGGAGAAACCTATGTCGTTTTTCCTATTTCTTCGTCTCTTCAGCATATCCAGTTCTTGCTGCAGTTGTGTTTGCCGCACAGCTGCATCTCTTTCCTCTCTAGTGTGCTACACCATCTGATTAGAATTTGCACCATCGGCCTACACTCATTCGGAGATGACGACGACTGGGAAAAATAATCACAGCCGACGCCGCCGCCGACCGGGAGGAGAGTGAGAGTGGCTCTTAGGTTCTCCAGCCATTCCAATTTCCAAGCAAGTCGCTGTGCTGCGAAACACAATCACCATGTAATGCCGGCTGCCGTGGAGTAAAGGAAGGAGACCAAGAGAACACCTTAAATGACCATATTATCCCTATATTTAACACCCTTTTGACGGATTAACTAACGGAGGACAATATTGAGCAATGACACAAAAGTCTGGGACTATTTTATGACACCAAAGTCATTTAGGACAAAATTGAGAAAAACCACTATAGTCGAGGACAATTTTGGGTATTAACTCATAATACTATATATATATATATATATATATATATATATATATATATATATATATATATATATATATATATATATATATATATATATATATATATGTGACGATAATTTTAAAATATTAGAATTAAATGTGCAACTGAAGCAATAATCTGTAATTAACTAGTGTTATATATATGGTATAATTATTGCAGTATCGGAAGTTTGGGTCGGTTTGCAGTAGAAGTCGGTGTGCAAAACGTAACACTGATAAACTCTCTCTTCGTCGGATCCCAAAATGGAATCAGGATAAAATCATGGGCACGACCAAGTACTGGGTTTGTCAAGAACATCAACTATCGCAACATTGTTATGAAGCATGTGAAAAACCCCATAATCATCGACCAGAACTACTGTCCAAATAACATTGGTTGTCCTAAACAGGTAAATTTCTTATACCTTATATCGATCAATGACATAAGCTTGAGACCCTATGTTATGTTTATAAATTTGATTTCGTGGTGGAATTGACAGACATCTGGAATAAAAATCAGTGGAGTGACATATAAGAACATACAAGGAACATCTAAGACAAAAGTTGCAATGACATTTGATTGTAGCCCCAGCCAAAAATGCAGAGGGATAAAGTTGCAAGATATAAAGTTGAAGTATTATTTGAACAATCAGAAGGCACAATCCACCTGCAAAAACATTCAAGGAACTACCACTGGAGTCATCTTACCATATAAATGCCTTTGATCACTCTCGATATATATATATATATATATATATATATATATATATATATTCATTTTGGTTTCAATAATATTATTTATTAAAATTAATATTATCTTTATTATGTAAAGTTTTATATTGTAACTATTATATTATCATAAAACTAATAAAGCCTCGTGTGTTATAATCCATTTGGCTCTTAGCGTTTATCCCGGTGCAACGAATCCAATAACAGCAATGTAAATATGTAAAGAGAGAAAAGAGAAAGAAAAGTAGGCAATAGGTAATGAGAATTTTTATTCATTATATTCCTCTATCTCATCCATATAACCACAACACATATATATAATATACAAATGTAACGGAAGACATAATGTAGTTATTAATCACTATCCATTACATAATATATTTAACACTCTCCTTGGACATTATTTGACCATGATCTTGCCTCATTTAGAAAAAGAAACTTGCAAACTTGTTAGGAAAACCCTGTGGGAAAATACCTAAACAAGTACAAGGTATATGGATAAAATATTTGAATATATTCAAGCCTCATTAGAAACTTCACTAAGGAAAACCACGTCGGAAAAACCTAGTTGAAAACAAGAGTACATAATATTTGTAAAAATCTTATATTGTATTGGTTGCCTCATTAAAAACCTTAACTTAAAGAAAACCCTGTGGGAAAAACTTAGTTAAGCGAAAAAGAGTACAACCATAAGCCTTCAAGACATAATCTTCAAGATTTTGGGGTCCGTCTATTTAAGTATTTATTTGCAACTTTCCCCATTTTCATTACTATATCTTACTCATGTCTCATTAAAAACCACACTAGAAAAACCCAATGGAAAAAATCTTAGTGAGGAAAAGAGTACATGGTATGTATATGATGCAAAAAGTACAATTGTTAGTCTTTTAAGACCCAATCTACAGGATTCGAGTGAATGTACTTCCCGTCTCCCCCTGAAGATAACAATCTTCAAGTTCTACATGGCTTAAAATAAAGTCATTGTTTCAAAATGTGTAGAGAAGGGATGTTGTACAATTTTCATGATGGTTATTGGAGTTTATCATTTTATACTATTATCTTGTGACTCTTATGGAGTATACGTGGTTCGAATATTTATATAACTTGTCTACTATCCTTCAAATATATCCACTTAGCGATGAAGTAATGGACTTCTGGTCCCAAAAAATATCCTCACTATATAGATAGTCTTTTATCTTTTTCGATATATTTGGATGACAATTAACGTACTGAAGGATATATTTAGGACATTTTTCAAGAGGGACTTATAGGTATCCTTCTAGGAAACGATATTTGAGTTTCCTAATCAGAAGAGACCTTCGTCTCCTGCCATAGAGACGAAGAACGGCCGAAGACGGTTTCGTATCCGGCCGTTCTGTTTTTATTTTATTTTATTTTAGTTTAAATTTTTAATTTTTAATTAGTTTTTTGTTTTAAATTATTTTTAAAATCCACAACCTCCATGTCAGCAAAGTATTAGGTAAATAGGTCATTATAGACCTAATTGTATGAATTTGTGTAGTTCAGGGACCTAATTGTACTCTTTTTGAGTTCGATGGCCTGATTGCAACTTGGTGTGCAGTTCAGTGGCCTATTTGACCCTTATTCCAAAAAAAAAAAAAAAAAAAAAAAAAAAAAAAAAAGACATCTTCTCTCTACCTGTTGCATATGGCGATAACGACAACAACGTTGTGCATGTGATCATCCGACAGAAGCCGCCTCGCGATCATTCCGGCAGAAGGCGGAGGTGCGGCGCTCTGGCAGAGGGTCAAGCCGTATGATGGTCAATATTGGGATAAGTCTTCCAGAATGGAGTTCATCCCTCAAATTGGAAAGGTTGCTTCTGGTAAGACAGCTTCTCACTCATGACTCATCTGGTAAATCGTTTGATTCATGCAAATGTGTTGAATAATCCTCTGAGAGTTAGTAGGGGAGTTTTGGTGTCCTCTGCTAGTGGACGTGGTAGTGGAGTTCAACAATCTTGTTCGACACTTGCTAATCAGTCAACAACACTTGGGGACCTCACAAATTTTAATTCTGTTTCTGTTATTAATCGTAGTGTTAATGCCACTTACATTGTGCCTAATCAGAATATGACTCATCAAGTTGGTGGTCATGATAATAATTTTGTTATTATCTCCACTAATAGTATAACTAGTTCAGCCATGGCATCTCGTGGCACTTACATTGGGATTAATGTTGCTTCAAATAATGTCCCTAATGCTAATATATTTGATTAATGCAAGTCTTGTTAATTGTAGTCTTGTGGAATTGGAGTCATGTATATTCATAGAAACTCCATGATTAATAATTGGTACATTTTATTTTGATTGTAATGTTTGTCGTAATAACAATCTATGATAGTTTGATTATCCTTGTCAAACCTGTGAGAGGCAATATTGGCAATTACCATGTAACGACCCTGCAAGGTTGTACCAATGGTGATGAGAAAGGTCAGAATGGAAGAGAAGCAACAAGTGAGAAGATGAAGACTGTTATTGATAAAGGCTGAAAGTCGAGGGGCCAAAACGACGCCGTGGGAAGGGCAGTTGAAAGATCCGTTGCAACTTAAACCATACGACGTCGTTTGCAAGTAGCCGTTGGGGTGGTTGGAAGTAGCCGTCAGACGACGCCGTTTGATGCGTCTGTTACCTCTTTTGCCGAACAAGCTCCTGGAATGAAGGGGATGGTTTTGCCAGCTATTTTAATTCAATTTAGCTTTATTTTCTGCTTTTACTTAGCCTTAAAAGGCAGTGTAGACGGTTAAGAGGTTTTTTTTTTTTGCGATGAATACAACTCTATTTTCTCTTATTTCTCCTTCCACTTCTCCTCTTTAACCTAATTTCTTCATTCCTAAACCCTAGTTCGTGATCAAACTCCCAAGTGCACTACATTTGGTATCAGAGCCCTCGATGGAGGACCGTATGCGGAAGCTGAAGCTACTGTGATTGAGCTCAACAGCAAAATTGACAATCTGATTCAAGCAACACAGGATTCAGTCACTGAGCTGAGCACACAGATGAATACCCAGTTTGGATCTCTTAGAGAAGAATTGCTCAATCTGCTGAGATTGAACCGACCTGCTCCTCCCGTCATGGGGCATTCGCTTGGGCAATCATCAGTCCAAGGGTAGGCAGACCAGACAAAGCACCAATGCAGGAGCCTGAGCTGGAAGAACTAGAACCTAACATAGTGGCTCCTAGCGGGCTGCAAGCAGATTGGATCCCTAGGAGAAGGGTGTTGGATGGTCTCAGGCAAGGGGCAGCAGGGCAGAATCCAGACATCTTCCCCAGGTTTAAGAGTGAGTTTCCACCCTTAGATTATGCTAATCCTAGGTAGTGGATGCTCAGATGTGAGAAATTCTTTGTGCTATTTCATATTCCTAGATATGATGTGATAAATCTGTTGTATGTTCATTTGAGTGGAAATGTTGGACTGTGGTTTGAAGGGTATATCCATGGGTTGAGAGAAGGATTTCAGTGGGCAATCTTTGCAGAGGCTGTGTGTAATAGATTTGGGGATAGTGGAGTATCACTCATGGAGGATTTTGCTGCTTTTAAGCAATGGACTAGAGTGGATGAATATACTGATGGTTATGAAGGATTCAAAAGCCTTTTGTTGCAAGCACATCCAGGTCTCACTAAGAACTACTTCCTGGAAAATTATATTGCTAGGCTTAAGCAGAATTTGAGATGTTTTGTCAGGACTGCCAAGCCAAGCAGTTTAGAAGATGCCATTTGGCTAGCCAGACAGTATGAGAAGGGGTTGAAAGGGAGTGATGGGCCCAAGACTTCTAGTTGGAACTCCAAACCTGCACAAACCACCAAAACATATAGCTCAAATTCCAATCAACCCTATACCCAGAACCCAAACCTCAGCCAAAAACCAGCCTTGTCTACCCAAACCACTGCATCCAGAACACCAGAGATCACCCAATTTAAGAACCAACTAAGAGAACAGAAGAGGTGCTTCAAGTGCATTAACCCTTGGCAACCTGGGCATAAATGTAGTGGTCCTACCTTTAATATCATAGAGGACCATGAGAGTAATGAATTGTCTGACTTACTGGAAGCAGAAGAGGATAAGTCAATTCTAGAAGAAGCAGAAGTATCATTGTGTGTTGTAGTTGGAGGGGAAGGTCTAAATACTATTAAGCTGTTGTGGTGTATCCAGAAACAGCCTATTGTCATATTAGTAGACAGTGAGAGTACCCATAGTGTTAGTAATGTAATTATTGTGTACATCTTTATATTGTATAGTTGTATTTCTAGTGGTTGAGGTTTAGTCTAACTCTCTAGCCTACAGGATAGGATAGTATTGTGTGAACTCTCACATAGGTTAATTTCTCTCTCTCTGTAACTCGTTCGATTGAATCAGATTACTATTATCTCATCTGGTATCAGTTGCGATAGGTTATCCCATTTTTGTTCAATTTCTCCCGATAATTAAGATGTCGACCAATTCCTCCGAGCGAACAATCACCACTGTCCCTGTCGGTGTTCCGCCGTCGAACAACACCCTCACAGCGGCGCATCACTTTGTGACTGTTATCTCATCCATAGTTTCCTTGATCCACAGCTGCTTGATCGTATGAGAAGACAACTTGAAAAGACCAAACCCTTGGAAGTGACAGTGGCTAATGGTGATAAGATGATTAGTGATTTAGTCTGTCACAATTTGAGCTGGCAGATACAACAAGAATGTTTTACCAAGGATTTCAGATTATAGAGGCTTGGGGGTTGTGACATGGTGCTTGGTATGGATTGGGTGGATCTATTTGCCCCCATTCAATAACATATAAGGCCCCCAGGAATTTCCTTCCACAAGGATGGCAGAAAAGTTTTCTTAAAAGGATTAACTAAGAAGGTGATATTGAAAGCTGCTACAGACAAGTAACTTAAGAAGTGGCACAAAGAAGGTGTGCAGGGGTTCCTTGTGCAATGTTGCACTGTGGCAAACTCTCCCTTACAAACCCACTCCCTTCCAGGAATTCCTG